TCTTTATAGAAATGTATAGCACCTTATTAATAAAGTATAGCACATTATGACAAAGTATAACACTTTATGGTAATAGTATAGCACCTTATTGATAAAATATAGCATTTTATGGTTTCTGGAATTTCTTCAACGTAGTGGGATAAACCAAATCAGTTTTTTTCGGAACAATGCGAACACTTGATGACGTGTAAGATGTGTTGCTTGATCAATTATTCACCTCGACGAGAGGTTGTCGCTCAATTTTCTATCTTTAGGAAAAGTATAGCTCTTTATAGAAATGTATAGCTCCTTATTGATACAGTATAGCACCTTATGGCAAAGTATAACACTTTATGAAAATAGTATATCACCTTATTGATAAAGTATAGCACTTTATGATTTCTGGAAATTTTGCAACGTAGTGGGATAAACCAAATCAGTTTTTTTTCGGCGCAATGCGAACACTTGATGACGTGTAATGTGTTGCTTGATCAATTATTCACCTCGACGAGAGGTTGTCGCTCAATTTTCTACATTATGACAAAGTATAGCACTTTATGGCAATAGTATAGCACATTATTGATAAAGTATAGCATTTTATGATTTCTGGAATTTCTTCAACGTAGTGGGATAAACCAAATTAGTTTTTTTGGAGCAATGCGAACACTTGATGACGTGTAAGATGTGTTGCTTGATCAATTATTCACCTCGACGAGAGGTTGTCGCTCAATTTTCTATCTTTAGGAAAAGTATAGCTCTTTATAGAAATGTATAGCACCTTATTGATAAAGTATAACACCTTATGGTAAAGTATAGCACTTTATGGCAATAGTATAGCACCTTATTGATAAAGTATAACACTTTATGATTTCTGGAATTTCTGTAACGTAGTAGGATAAACCAAATTAGTTTTTTTCGGCGCAATGCGAACACTTGATGACGTGTAAAGTGTGTTGCTTGATCAATTATTCACATCGACGAGAGGTCGTCGCTCAATTTTTCATCTTTAGGAAAAGTATAGCTCTTTATAGAAATGTATAGCATCTTATTGATAAAGTATAGCATATTATGATAAAGTATAGCACTTTATAACAATAGTATAGCACCTTATTGATAAAGTATAGCACTTTATGGTTTCTGAAATTTCTTCAACGTAGTGGGATAAACCAAATCAGTTTTTTTGGAGTAATGCGAACACTTGATGACGTGTAAGATGTGTTGCTTGATCAATTATTCACCTCGACGAGAGGTTGTCTCACAATTTTCTAGCTCTAGGAGAAGTATAGCTCTTTATAGAAATGTATAGCATCTTATTGATAAAGTATAGCACCTTATGGAAAAGTATAGCACTTTATGGTAATAATATAGCACCTTATTGATAAAGTATAGCACTTTATGATTTCTTGAATTTCTGCAACGTAGTAGGATAAACCAAATCAGTTTTTTTCGGTGCAATGCGAACACTTGATGACGTGTAAAATGTGTTGCTTGATCAATTATTCACATCGACGAGAGGTCGTCGCTCAATTTTTCATCTTTAGGAAAAGTATAGCTCTTTATAGAAATGTATAGCATATTATGGCAAAGTATTGATAAAGTATAGCACCTTATTGATAAAGTATAGCACTTTATGCTTTCTGAAATTTCTGTAATGTTGTGGGATAAACCAAATCAAATTTTTTGGAGCAATGCAAACACTTGATGACGTGTAAGATGTGTTACTTGATCAATTCTTCACCTCGACGAGAGGTCGTCGCTCAATTTTCTATCTTTAGGAAAAGTATAGCTCTTTATAGAAATGTATAGCACCTTATTGATAAAGTATAGCACATTATGGTAAAGTATAGCACTTTATGACAATAGTATAACACCTTATTGATAAAATATAGCACTTTATAGTATAGCATAAAGTACAGAAATTCTAGAAATCATAAAGTGCTATACTTTATCAATAATGTGGTATACTATTGCCATAAAGTGCTATATTTTACCATAAGGTGCTATACTTTATCAATAAGGTGCTATACATTTTTATAAAGAGCTATACTTTTCCTAAAGTGAATAATTGATCAAGCAACACATCTTACACGTCATCAAGTGTTCGCATTGCTCCAAAAAAACTGATTTGGTTTATCCCACTACGTTGAAGAAATTCCAGAAACCATAAAATGCTATACTTTATCAATAAGGTGTTATACTATTGCCATAAAGTGCTATACTTTGTCATAATGTGCTATATTTTATCAATAAGGTGCTATACATTTCTATAAAGAGCTATACTTTTTCTAAAGCTGAAAAATTGAGCGACGACCTCTCGTCGATGTGAATAATTGATCAAGCAACACATTTTACACGTCATCAAGTGTTCGCATTGCGCCGAAAAAACTGATTTGGTTTATCCCACTACGTTGCAGAAATTCCAGAAATCATAAAGTACTATACTTTATCAATAATGTGTTATACTATTGTCATAAAGTGTTATACTTTGCCATAAGGTGCTATACTTTATCAATAAGGTGCTACATATTTCTATAAAGAGCTATACTTTTCCTAAAGCTGGAAAATTGAGCGACGACCTCTCGTTGAGGTGAAGAATTGATCAAGCAACACATCTTACACATCATCAATTGATCAAACAACACATCTTACATGTCATCACACGTTTGCGTTGCTCAAAAACGATACAATTTCAACTCTGAAACGACACAGTTTTAACAATAAGAACATAGTTACAGCGTGAAACAACAATTACACATCACCACTACAAAAGATCATCACAATATGTAACACTTTACTATAAAGAGTTGCACTTTTCCAAAATCTGAAAAATTGATTACAAGCTCACATGACATACATCAGAGAACACTAAGCGTAAATTCAACGAACAGGTGGTGGGCGACGACAAGTGCTTCAGATCCTTGCCTGCCTCCATGTCGGCGAACTGGGGGGGGTCGATGTCGAAACCGTTGGTGGGTTATTCATCCGATTCGAGGTTGACGGTGGTGGGTGACGTGGCGGCGAGGGGAGATAAAGGGCAGCAGAGGGAGGTGGTGGGTGACGTGGCGGCGAGGGGAGATAAAGGGCAGCAGAGGGAGAGGTTGATGGGTTTGAGGGAAGAGGGGAAGTAAAGGAAGGGGAGAGGAGGAGGTTGGTGGTGGTCATTGAAGGAGAAGAGGAAGGAAGAAGAGAGCTTGTGTAGTGAATTTGAGGGTAAATACAGTAATAATGGGTGTATTATACATATTGGGTTTAGAAATAAGTGGGGTGGGATACAATGGGTGTATTGATGTTTGGAAAAGTTAATGGGTTTTTAAATAAGTGGGGGTAAAACTTTGGGCTAAAAAAGAAAAACCCCATTTATTTAAGGAGGGCAGTTTGACTTCATTTCTTCGAACCCTGCACCTTTAGTCTATTCTTATCTCGCCAGAGCTCAGTCCAAGAAATGCATTTACTAAAGACTTGTAGCGTGTTATAAGGCTCATAGAGAGGCAAAAGTAGGCAGTGAAGATTAAACTAAATACTCTCATAAAAACCTAGATTTACATGCAAATATTATAACATCATTGAGACATGTTTCACTGTAATTAATGGAAAAGGATCAGAAGCAGGCATACAAGACTAGAAGCAACTTAAAAGACGTCGGCGCTAACCTGATGATGGGAATTTTATTTGGCATAATTGAATCTTAGAGCAAGACTCATTTAGGACAATTGAATCTGAGAACAAGATTCTATTAAAATATTTGAATCAAGAGGACAAGGCTCGTGTAGATTGGGCTTTGTTGTAGCAGTAGAACATACGTCCTCGTAAACATTCCCATGTATGCAGAATTGAGAATGGATTCTAAATAGGGGTTTTTACCTCTAAACCCAAAGCTTTACCTTGATTTATACTTAAACCCAAGTAATTTTATTTGTACCTACAAACCCGACCAGCTTTGTATATTTATGTTTAGTACACTATATAACTACTATATAACTATGTGGTCCCACTAAGAAAATTTTAGAGACCCCATTTTACCCTTTTCTTTCCCTCCATTCTCTCTCCTCTGAAATTTTTTGAAATTTATAAAAAATACCCTAAATTTTTTGAATTGCAAAAAACGCCCTAAAAAGATCTTATTTTAGAAACAAAATCTTATTTCTATAAAAACACCCTAAAAAGATCTAAACTTTCAGACGTTTACAAAAAAATACGCGTTTGTAGTTTTGTACTTTTCAGGTCGTTCTTGTAAATTTTGAACATTTTAGGGTGTTATTTACAAATTTCAAAACTTTCAGGGTGTTTTCTTACAATTTTAAAATTTTCACGGATTGCTCGTAATTCCTATATTTTTAGTACTGTTTGCAGGTTTAAAAATTTCAAGATGTTTATTTATTAACTTTGAATATTTTTAGTACTGTTTGCAGGTTTAAAAATTTCAAGATGTTTATTTATTAACTTTGAATTTTGAGGGTGTATTTTGCAATTTAAAAATTTTTAGGCATATAGATATATATTGCCAAACAAATTTTTAGGCGGATGTGGGGTTGGGGTCTGGTTGTGTGTCGTGGGGGGGTGGGGGCGGGGGGGACGGTGCATTTGAGGCCTTAAAATTCTAAAGGGAACCATAAACTGCAGTGTATTTCGAAGATAGGGTTTAAAGACAAATGCATAAAGATTATTGGGCTTATAGGTACAAATAAAGCAACTTGGGTTTAGATATAAAGCAGTCAAAGTAAACGAAGGGACCAAGCCTTGCATGACAGCAAGCAAAGGGACTAAACCTTGAATGATAGATATAAAGCAGGGTAATTCTTCGGGTTTGGAGGCAAAAACCCCTTCAAAATAACAGTCAACAGTCAATACCCACGCCAAGTAAAGGCAACAAAGTAGACTAAGGGACTAAGCCCTGCGTGATAGTAAACAAAGGGACTAAACCTCGCATGGTCAACAAAGGTGCATAAACGATACTCTAAATTGCATGGTAAAATCAAGAGTGGCAAACTTACTACTGTAATAAGTTCACATTAAAAAACATCAATCAGCTAACGTTATGCCGCACTTCATGCTCACAAGGAAAAGAAACAACAATTTCCGATCTCATCCGTTTCATGTTCCAAACATTACTAAAAATTTTAAAACTTTTTGCAATCACATCATCACCGCAGCTAGCATACTTTACTCGGTACACAGATATCCTTGCTCGTACAAGAAAAGCTACGATTTTTCTTTTCCCGGTTAAACCAGATAAAAAAGAAAAAAGTATTAAATGAACAGTAACACGAACACCTAGGAAACTAGTATCAATGAAGGAAAACAAAATTGCAAGTTTCCATTATTGGGAAGGTGCACCATTTGTAACTTCATCCATAGGTTCAGCTTCAGCCGCATCATCTTGAGCACCGGCTTTCTTACCTGCAACATGAGCAGTACACAGCAAAGCATATGATTACTATGTTATCTTAATAATTCCAATTATGCGAGTAAATAGGGTAAGACAACTAAGAAAATAAAGGCGTTAATTGCACAGATAGATCCATGTAGCATCTTCGGTTTGAACTTAATACCCCCGAGTAAATTGTTTTTCACAAATAGAACTTCCGAGCATAAAAGAGTCAAAAACAAATCACTCAAGGGATCTATCCGCAACAACAAAACTAGAAGGGGGTGTAAAGTCCAAAATAGTAATACTAGGTCTGTCAGCAATTAACCCAAAATAATATCAAGATGGATACGAAGCGCATAGAAAGAGCATTTTTAACTCCCACCTTTCTTCTTCTTTCCTCCACCCTTCTTCTTCGTCTTTGTAGCCAAAGCAAGCCAAGCCTTTATTTCGGGGTCATCAACAGTCTTTGTAGGCTGCAACTGCTGCAATGGATGGGAGGTAATTCTATCCGACCCATTCGGCATTAGCAAGACGGTGAACTTGATGTGAGCTACAATATCTCCTGCCATATGGAAGTTCGATCGTTCAGCACAAGCATGCATCTAGCAAATAAGTATTAGAAGAGAATAATGAATATCTCATATGAGAGGGTTCTCTCATCTACAATGATGTGACTCAATCTCAACCAAGTGTGGCTATTTTGCATATTAAACTTATAGTAAATATCAGAGTTAACAGATTTTAATCCTCCCAATCACTTAGATCTGATCAATATATTTGCAAATAGTCTTCAGGTCCTACTTGCCCCCCTAATATATTAGATTTGTCCCTTCATACCCCAGGGACTATTTTTAGTACCATCTTGCCCCTAAACTATTAAATTCAACCTTGTTTACCCCCTGAACTAATTTTAGTCACACTCACACCTCAGACCTCACCCCTGAACTATCACTTTTTAGTTAACCCTTGTAGTTATTATTTTTACGAGCATTTAAATGGATTAGTGAGAGGAAAGTTATAGTTCAGGGGGCAAACATAGACGAAACTAATAGTTCAGTGAGAAAGATGGGACTAAAAATAGTTCAACAAAGTAAACAGAAACAAAATTAGTAGTTCAGGGGGGTAAGGTGAGACCACAAATATTTCAGAGGGACAAATCTAGTAGTTTAGGGGAGGCAAACAGGCACTGAAGCCTTGCAACTATGGTGCTACATTGATGAGTAATATTGCACAATGTGGTTTCACTGTCAATGTCCTTCAAAGAAAGAGGATCATATTTCAGAATAACATCATGAAACAACGACGAAGGATCAAATGGTAAGATTAGCAATACAATGGAATTGTATGATTATGCCCTCTAACTAAACAAGGTAAGAGCGATGCTTTGAATTTGTAGCACTTAGAGCATGAACTCTTTGTTTGGTGGCAAGGTCAAGGTACCTTTAGGTCCTAAATATGCTTCAATATTGTGCTCACCTCGTTTTCTTAATTAACTTATTAAAGCACAAGAATAGCTGTTGATAAAGTATACCATCTGAGCAGTACTTTTAAAAGTTATTACCTGGCTTCTCATGCAATACTGGATATGGCTGTAAGAGGTCATGATTCATACACTCTACTAGTCCCAGCCTAGCACGTTTTTCTTCCAAGGCCCTGCAAAAATAACATCCCATAAGTAAAAAATCAAGCCATAATGTATACATAAAAGTTGGCAGGGGATTTAACGAACCTAGCAGTAAAGGGCATGATAGGAAATTTCTGGCTGATTTCGCTAAAGATAAATCTTGATGCTTTCATCTTTAAGTGATAACTTTTGTCAACGGCTCTTTTATAAATAGTAGTTTGCTTCTCATCCAACAGTTTAGGCTGCAGATTTAACACAATAATCAGCTCACCTATTTATATACAAGTAACTTTATATGATCATATAGAACAAATCTTATAGTTTCTCACCTTGCCTTCACCCGAGCTTGCAACAATATCAACTGCATAGACTTCGTTCTCTTCAAATTCAGCATCATCAACTCTAGTCTCTGGATTACTTACACTAAGCACAACTTTGTTTCCATCAATAACAAACTGTTTAAGCTGATGACTAAGCACCCCTTCAACTATCTTGCAGTCATATGCAGTGGCAACCTTTTGAATAGCTTCAGTTACATCCTTATTCTGTAGCATCAGAATACTTGAAATAAGCAACTGAATTACTTTATGGTATCAGATGTCATATTATTATGAGATAAAAGAAGAGGATCTACTAGCAGAGCATCCAGAATAAAGATCACCATCTAACTTCAAAATTACCAGTGAAACTAAAACTTTTAAAACTAACAAAGTATCGCTAGTTCATCAGTCTTGATTTATATGGGATGGTAATTTACGGAGTCTTATGCAAATAGGAGACTTCTGTAACATCTAGAGATCGCCTTAACTACAGAAAGACTTTCGAAAAATCCAGATTCTTCAGTACAATAAACATAGTTGCTATCCATGTTCTCCATTCTATGCCAAAATCAAATCATAACCAATGTAGCATCAACCTACAGCCGTAACCATAGTAAAATTAGCACATAGTGAATTTAAACCTACTCAATGTGCTCCACTGCATGGTTTCTTTTCTATAGCAAGAAGATGAACCAACTGTAAAGTATGATCTAAAGAAAATAAAACTAAAAGGTAATTAATATTGGTTATTTATTTATTATCCAAAAGAAGCATTAAAATAGTAATAAAAAGATAGGTAAATTCCCCATCAGAGTAACTATGACAAAAAGCTTCATTTGGATGTCAATCCATAACTTTTGAAGTGTTATTCCTCATTCGGGGACATAATACCAACTAAAAAGATCAATGACAAGGAACACCAATGCAAAACAAAAAGGAAATAACGATAGAAACAAAGATGATGCAAATTTCAACATTTTATAAGTATAACACAAAAACATGATATGGTAGAAAATTTCATGAAACTCTATCAGAGTAACTATGACAAAAGCTTCACATGGATCTAGATCTCTGCTTTACTTATGCTTTCATCATTTAGAGATTTCATGTCTCACCAACACACTATGATTAAACATTACGTAAACACGTATCCTACACTCGAGAGTAAAAAAAGTAGGCGCGACTCACTTGTGAAGAAAATAAGGAACAATATGCAGAGTTACATACTATGAACTTCAAAGTTCTATCAGAATAAATTTTAAGCAAAAAGGTGGTGATCATTCATTCAATTTATTTGAAGAAAATATTTAAATTTCAAGAAAAGAAGTTAGTCCCCACCAGCAGTAAGTTAAAGAGATCATTTTCATAAAGGATTATTGGTACATATACCCCTTAAATAATGGGAATTTGCAAAAACACCCTCCAAATCTTAGTATTTGCAATACTACCCCTCAAATCTTCAACTTTGTGAAAAAAACAACCCTAAAATCAATAAATCATGAACTTGATGCTACAAATTTGACTATTTTATTGATAATTTTTACATTGAGATTATAAATTAGCTTATCAAAGTTGATGAATAATTGCTTTGATGGTATTTTTCTCCAAAATTAATGATTTGAGGGTTAGTTTTGCAAATATTGAGATTTGGAGAGTATTTTTGCAAATACCCATGATTTAAGAAGTATATATGCAAATAACCCTTTCATAAACCAATAGTCAAGTCCACTGCAAGAAATCAAGCAATCATACTCAAAGTAGACACAAACCTAATGCCAAATTAAAATTAGCGTTTAGTCCTAGTAAATCTAAACCTACTCGAAATGTTAATGTTTTTTTTCCTAAAAGCAAATAGATAAAGCATCTATAAATTACGATCTGAAGAAAATAAAATTAAAGAAGGCAAACAACAAGCCATAACTTTGTAGTAGTGTTATTCCTCATTTGAGGACATAATACCCAAAAAAATTATGAAAAGGAAGACCAATGCAAACAAAATGGAAATGATGACAAATAAAGTTGATGGACATATCAAACGTTTAAGAATATAAACTTTACTTAACACAAAAATACATGATATAATGGAAAATAACATGAAACTCCATCAGTGTAACTATGGAAAAAGCTTCACATGGATGTACATCCTCCGCTTTAGCTATGTTTTCATCATTTAGATATTTCATGTCTGACCAACACACTCTAGTCAAACATTAGGTAAACATGGATCCTACACTTGCGAAGAAATTAAGGAATACTATGCAGACGCTACACTATAAAGTTAAACATTTTCTCGGAATAAATTTTAAAGAAAAATGGTAATAATCATTCAGTTTATTTATTAAAAGAGAAGATTTAAAATTGATGAATAAAGTTAGTCCCCCACTAAAACTAACCAGTCAAGGGGATCATTTTCATAACAGCGTGTCTAAAGCTAATAGGGACATAATCACAGCACCTCAATCAAAAAACAGGAAATAAAAAACAATCATAACAATAAAAATAAGTGCTTAAGCATAAGTCAGGATAACAGTGTCCGAGTAGCTTAGCCTGTGTTGGCATACTTAAAATAGATATCAAAATTAATGTGTATATTTGAAAATACGTATCAGCAACATAAGGAGAAAGTATTTTACTCAATAACAAAAAAAGCAGAAAAATACATGAAAATTGTGTAACTATGACAAAAAACTTCACTCGGATGTAGATCCACTGCTTAAGCTGTGTCATCTTCATCATTTAGAGATTTCACGACTTGTAAACATTATGATTAAAAAATAAAGCAAAAAAAAAATTATACTTAAAAATGATATCAGGAAAAAACTGCAAGACTTCCACCTATAAAGACAATAGAAGAGGCGAAAATGCGGAGATACACATGGAAAGCTTTGGTTTTAAGAACGCTCCTAATAACTAAAAGCGAATATTAGAAGCAGAAGAAATGAATAAGGAATCAGTAAAATCTTGAAGGAATCTAGAAATGTAAGCTAGACACGTATGGGTGATGATGAAGAATTCAACAATGGAGAACATGCACAATAGTTGTTGGAGTAAAATACTTTTATAAATGTAAAAATGTGGAGATGCAGAATCCTCTAAATAAACCACGAAAGAAGACAGACAAATTTAAACAGGATTGGATAAAATGAGAGAGAATATGAAAGTGAAAATATAAACATGGAGGTTAGATAATCCATAACAAAAATTTAGGGGTGAATCAAAAGATTTATGAAAGACTGGTTACAGGGATGCAGGTGCGCTATAACACTCCTACATATATTTACATGTCTGACAAAAGATGATTATACTACACCAACACTTAGTGCCAAACATGAATATATCACAATGAAATTCAATGGAGAAGAAGAGATGGAGCAGCATCAAGGAAATTCTGGAGGTTAATTGATCCATAGAAATAAACCCTTCTCTTTTTTGTAATTGTGTGCTGTGCTGTGCTGTTAAACATTAATTGTAATAAATATAGAGATGCCAAGTTTGAGTAATAGATTCAACATTATGGAGTCTGGAAAAATATATGTTATCTCTTGAGATGATTAGAAGGCAAGCACAAATCATTTTACTGGACAAATAGTTGTTTAAGGCATCCAACTAGGTCATGAACTTCTGGTTCTTCACCAATAACTATTAGTTCAAAGGGGCTGTGCTTTTCCAGTAATCTTAACTAGGGTTTTTATGTAGTTAAGACTTACAACTCCAGAAAATAAACATAAGGTCCACTGGCACTAAGTAATAAGTATGATTTAATAAAGAGTAATTAACCAACTTCAAAAGTTAGATGCAACTACAATTTAAAATTTTCATTCAAATTCGATAGTTCTTAACTCCCATCCCCCAAAAAAAACATAAAATATAGTTTAAGATAACTCCAGTAATATCCTAACACGATTTAGAAATAGTAAAATTATAGTTTAAAACAGAATTAAATATTTGAAAGCTACAGCTCGTAACCCTCTAATGATGATTTGAGATAAATGATAATCAAGAAAACAACAAAGCAAAATATTCTAATAAAATTAAGAAAACAACAAACTTAAACAAGATAAATTTCTCAGTTAGACATGTTGTATCTGTTTTCTTAAAGTTACTTATGAATATGTTTATTAACCTCTCCAATATATACTATATAGCAATCCAATAATAAGTTTCAGATCCATGGCGGCCCACTGAGCTTACATCAACATGCAATTGTAGACCATGAAAAGAAACAGAGCCGCAGTCTGTCTTGAAGCTAAGGACAACTTTTACATATGATAATCAATGAATTACTAGGTTATGGCGCTACAAATTGCAAAAGGTAAAACGAATACTTCATTTACTACGAAACAACCAGAACATAAGATGCGTTATCGTCCAAAGACTCCTATAACAAGCTAGATCACCCAAAACCAAAGTGATACTAAAACCTACAACTTCCATGAAAAACAAAAATCTTCACTTAAACAAACATGAATGCGTCACATATGATAAAAAAAAGCAAAAATCTTGCACAATCATAAATAAAAGTGTTCTACTTGTACCATCCAAACTTAATACAAATACCTCCAGCTATGCAATGTCCCATAGGCGCATAACTAACTAAAACGAAACAAATTCTTCAAATCAAGTGAAAAAAGGTTACCTTTTTCCCGGGTCTCACAAGTCGTAAAGCAACCTCTGCTGCAGTATTTGCTGCTGCAATCACATCTGCTGCCTTCCCACTGACAGGACCTTCTTGAAGGACATGAGTGTGGGCCACTACGGCAATAAACCCATCTATGTGACACCCCATATCTCTGCGATGAGAAACAAGAGCGTAATTTAATATTCCATACATCCAAAAACTAAGATACTATTAATATAAAGTCAAACCATACATCTTCACCACATCATTCTCTTCAAGAAGAGATTCATCACTGGCGAGCGGAGAAAAATGGCAAACAACATTGTTCACCGATATACATGTCGGGAAAGCAATTCCCTTCTCAATCTTTTTCTTTGCATTCTTGTACACGCTCGCAGTTTGCCTATTGCCACCATCAATTAATATATTGTCACTCTCAAAGTGTAGATATCACCAAAAAGAAATCTTTGAGGTCAAAAAACTTATTATCAAATTTAAAAACTGTTCTGCAAATCTGACAAGGAAATGGTACCCCTGGAATACAAGATTACAGATAGCTGTATTGTAAAATTCTTTTAAAGAAAGGTAAGATTTTGCGTATCTCCTAAAAGCAAGAAACTACCCCTGCAAATTTAAGAAGGGGAAAATTCGACAAGCTGCAAATTCACATTAAAAAAAATCCATAAACTATGTTCATTAGAGAAAATTACATAAACTTCCAAATCAGCAGAAAACACCACATATTATCAGAAAACTACCCGGGAATTAAGTATCACAATGCAAAATCACCATGATTTCAGATAAAGTCAATAAACTACCACGAACTTTCCAATTTTTATTAGATTACTACTATGAACTTCCATAGTATTATCACAAAACCATTATATTGTTTTTTTATATAGTTTGCAATATTCCTCTACCGATTTGAAGTTTGTTGCATTTTTTAATAAAAATAATTTATGTTAGTTTTCTTTTAAACCCCTAACAGTTTGTGATAGTTTATAAAAGGGTTTTCTCCCTATATACAGCCAAATTGCCTTGTATGCACATTACAAGCAAAATGAAGAAAAATGAATAACCTATCTCCCTCCAAAAAAATTATTTTTTGCTAGTTTAACTCCTTTATAAAATTTGCCCTTGACAAATGATAAAAGCAAAAAAAAAAAAACTTCAAAAATAAAGAAAAGTTATACTCTCTGATGAAGTTATCCCCTTTCTCACAAATGTCAACAATCTTTGTCTTGGGCTTGCACTCCGAGATCACCAGCTGAAGAGCCTCTATTATGCCCCAAAAAACAAACAATTAGAAAAAAAAATGGGCCTAAAAACATAAAAAAAATAAATCAAACTAGGGTTCATGGAGATGGGGGAAATTACTGTTGATGATCTCAGCTGCGGTCTTGTACTTAGTGACGACGTCAGTAGAGGAGATATCCAACTCCTTCTCTTCTTGAAATTCGTCGTCCGACATTTTTCGCTGCGGCTAAAACCCTAACTGAACAAAAACGAAATGTCAAAAAAAAAAAATCAATTTGTCAAAAGAGTAACTGCAGAGAAAAATAGAAACGGTAGGATCTTAGTAAATGAGAGAAGATTAATGGTACCAGAATTTTTAGGTTTTTTTTTTCTTTTTTTCCCCTCTCTGGATAAAATGGTAGGGTTTTAGGGTTCGGTTGTGACGCGAGCGGAAGGGGGCAGATTAGGGCAAAATGTCGAGTCGGGATCGCGCTATAACGGAGAGACCCTCACGTGCAAATCACGTGTAGATCTAAATATAGTACTTATTAGGCTAAATTGATTCGCTTAAACGCCCTATAGTTTCACCAACACTGTACTTAGGTGACCTCTTTTTGGAAACAGGACAAATAAATACCCCAAAGTATTTAGATATTAGAGATAAATGTCCCAAATATTTAAAATATTGTATTTTAGTACCCTCTTGTAGCCGAATATTGCATATAAATACCTTAGTTTGTAAATAGCCTCAATTTTCTAAAGTTATACTTTAGTACCCTCTGTTATATGATGTTCTTGAGTATGTAGAGAAACCGGGTTCTTTTTAACTTTAGAGAATTCATTTGTAATATTTAAATACTTTGGGAGATTTATTTACTTGTTTTTAAAATAGAAGCCACTTAACTGTAATGTTGGTAAAATTATAGGGCATTTTAAGTGCAATTTAGCCTTGCTATTATTAGGAAATTTCACTAAACCATTCTAAACTTTAAAAACTTTATTTTCTGGCTAGTCTTTAGTTGAACTATAAAAACAACCATACCTCACAAAGATAAAGATGTCAAAATAAAAATTTTACCACTGCTCGAATCTCATGAAGTGATAAACTAAAAATGTTGTCTTAGGGCTTGTTTGGTTAGTCCACAACACCCTAAGAAATCTCATTTTTTTGGAAATGAACACTTACCACGTTGGATATAAGAGTTTAAACATTTCTTTATTAAGTGTTTGGTTCCTTTTTTCTTCTTTTTTTTTCTTTTCTGTTTTTTGGAGATGGGGGCTAGAAAACCCCTGTAATATTAACTTTTGAGAGATTACTATTTCCAAGCTTAGAGGCCTGAAATGGGCTGGAAAAGATATGTTTGGGTATAAATTATTCGCGCAGCACAACGGGAGTTTCCAGCGGCTAAAATTTGGGGAGAAAATCTCCCGCGGACGTCTTTTTGCTTCCCGCTTCCTTTGAGGATCTATGTTCTTTGGGTGATAAATAAAATGGGGATTGCATCAATGTCGATGAGGAAATTTGGGTGAAACTTGATGGCGACTCTCGTTCTCCTGTAGTAATCGATCGAAAGTTCTGAAGATTATAGAAAGGAAGTGTCTTTCTCTTTTATAATCTCTCTTCAGCTTGTTTGGGTGATCAATCTGCTCATTCTCCTTTATATCCAATTGCTTATAGCTAGATTTGGTTCTATCTTCACTCAGCCTTGCTTTACATCAAAAAATTGAAGGTAATTTATTGACTTGCAATTATTTGTTCTTCATGTCCCTTGCATGTTGGTATTGTTGATTCCTTTTTTTTTGGTGCATATTTGGTTGGATCCTAGAGTTTGCATTGTTTTTTAATCCTAAATAAATCTTCATGTTATTAAAACCAACTGTTGGTTGTTTTATAATTGAAATTTTACATTTTTATGAATTGTAACATTATGTGTACATGCATGTTAAGTTGTTTTTAAATTTTTGTCCTAAGTAAGATGCTATATGCTATGTTAATATGGGTATATTTGTTGTCTGCTCATGAGTTTATTTGCAAAAAAGACATATTGTGTTGTCAAGAGGGCCTCAAATTGCATGCTATATGTCATGTTAAAGAATTTAGTAGGTTACTGTGTTAGATTTGATATTCATGTATTCGTTTCCTGCTCATGAGTTTATTCAAAAAAAAAAACATATTGTGTTGTCAAAGAGTCCCCAAATTGCATGGTATATGTCATGTTAAAGAATTTAGTCGGTTATTGCGCTAGAGTTAATATTCATGTATTTGTTCTTGCTTATGAGTTTATTTGCAAGAAAAAAAATGTGTTGTTCAAGCGTCCTCAAATTGCATGTTATATGCTATGTTGTTTCTTGCTCATGAGCATTTGCAAATAAGCCACAATCTCTTGTCAAACGGACCCAAATTGCTTGCTATATGCTATATTAAAGAATTTAGTAGGTTACTATTTTAGAGGTGATATTCATATATTGTTTCATTTTAACTTGAGTGCTAAGTTTTCATAGATTAATTGCTAAATTAAAATATTACAAGTATTTTTTTTATATATTTAAAAATTAGTAACATAAATTTGGTATTGTAGATGGATGGTGGTGGAGTTGATGAAAAAATTGTCATGTCAATGTGTTCAGGGGCTACATTTTTTATTATGATTATAGTATTTACCTTTTTAAGAAGAAGCAATGTAGATGTAGATCCATACATAACAGACCAAATTTGGGAAAAAGAATGCAAAATGATCAAAGAATTGAATATTTGAATCGTATATATTATGGGTTTAGTGATAGTTGTCTAAGCTACGTTAGAATGCGTAGTGGGACATTTATGAACCTTGTAAAGATTATGAGAAAAAAAATTACTAAAGGACTCACAGCATGTTACAGTAGATGAGCAGCTTCCTATAACATTAAATATATTAGGTCATAAAATAAAAAATCATATTTTAAAGTTACAATTCATTAATCCGAGGTTAGTCGGTACTTCAACAAAGTTTTTAGATGCTATTTCCTACTTACGTGGAAGATATATGAGAAAAGCACCTAATGAAGTACCCCAAGAGATCCTTAACAATCCTAATTACTATCCATATTTCAAGGTAAATCATATTTTACTTAAAGAACTAATAATATTTTAAGTAATAAATGCAATTTTATGTTAATTTAGTAATTTCATTTATGTTATAGGATTGCATTGGTATGATAGATGACACACAAATTGATGTCATGCTACCTGCTAGCCTTGTTGCACAATTCTGAGGTTGTAAAGGAGTTACCCAAAATATTCTTGCAGTATGTACAGCTAACAAGCTATTCACATAGGTATTAGCAGGGTGGTAGGGTTCAGCAAATGATTATAGGGTTCTACAAGATGCATTGTCTAGATCACAACGTCATGGCTGGAAAGTGTATGTGAAAGTACCCTAATACCACTAGGAAGGAACCCTATAGGAGGGTGAATATGGATTATGCTAATCTAATCCGATTTATGCCAATTTAAAACTTAGTAACAAATTATCCTAGCAAGTGAGATATAGACAAGATATATGCAAGGATAATAAACTAAGGGCAATATGAAAACAAACAAGATAGTGGTAATATAAATTATAAGCAATAGACAAAGACGATATAAGATATGAACACAAAAATAAGTGCGTCAATACAATCATAAACAAACGATATGATCATGGAGTTCGGTCCCCATGACATACGTCTTCGCTCCTCACCTCGAGGAGATCTCCACTATCACAACCGGGTTTTCTACGGTCACCTGATAATGTTTACACCTCACAGTCGGTTTTCTAGTTCACCGAAAACTTTACAATCACTCACAATGTAAACACACTAACTACCACCTTAAGTATTGGTCTCTAGCCCGTGTCTCCCTCAAGTGTTAGGAATTACAACCTCTCTCTAGGCATTACCATCTACCCCACTCCTCTTGGGACGACCCCGTCTCCCACCACACACTCCTCTTGGTGTACTAGTGTAATATAAAGTGAACCTCATAATTAAGCTCGCTAACAACAAATTAAGCTCGCTAACAACAAATGATTGTTCTCTAATATGGATGAGAACACAATATAAGCCCAACTCTAAGTTACAATCTCACACCCCAAATATACTATGTATGAAAATACTAAAAGCTCAATGTGGGTGTGTGTAACAAAGAGTAAATCAAATCAAACTAAACTCAATTAAGTTCTAGCTTATGGAAATAAAAATCAAACATATAAAATAGCTAGATTGAGTTTAGGAAAACTTCTCTATATGATAACAAGAGAGAGGGAGAAGAGTTGAATGCTCAAACATCAATGGATAATCTCCACTTACTCTTGTGAGATTCTCTTCACAAACCGAAACTTGAAAATACTTAAAAGATTTTTAAACACACTTAAACAAACTTTAACACCATTGTAAAACTCTCTTGGACTTATTTAAAACATTTCTTAGATCTCTTCTAAGTATTGGGGATAGAGGGGTATATATAGGAACTCAAGACAACACCCCAAGGCCAAAAAAAAAACGAGGCAAGGTACCCCAAAACCAAACCAAGAAAAAACTAGCCATTAGGCTAAAAAGACACTATCAGTCGACTGACTATAGTGCGTCGGTCGACTGACTACAGTGTCATTGACAGATTTTGGTAGTTTCTGGAATTTTACGTATCTGACTTTGTAAAATCAATTAGAAATATTAAATCAACTCTAAAAATCATGAAAATTTAAGGAAAGGTCCTAGATAGATAAACATATTAGAGAAGGAATTTCTAAAATATCATTTCCCATTTATGATAAATAATTATTTGAATACAGATATTATAGTTTCTGAAAAACTACTAAAAACTTATTTTTGTAAATTCAATTGAAAATAACAAAACAACTCTAAAATTAGTAAAAAATGGGAAAATATTTGTATATATGAAGATAAACATGTAAACAAAGAAATTTTTCAAATTTCATTTTCCAATTGTGAAAACTCATCTATTTTGTAAAAACATACACGAACATGAACTTTAAACATGCACGAACAAAAACTTGATTTTGTAAATTCAATTAATCATAACAAATCAATTCCAAACTTAATAAAACTTTGGAAAATGTTTGTAAATGTGCTTTTGAACATTTTACAAAAAAGAATTTTCTAATTTGTATTCCCTAATTATGAAATCTCATCATTTTACAAAATCACATAAGTATGAACTTGTAAAAGCTTGATTTTGACAAAATGAGTTTAAACAAAGTTTTGAAACATTTCCAATAGATTTATAGACTTGATAAAAGATATAAAATAATATCGTTAAGTCTATAATCCAAAAAATCAATAAATTAAACCAAATGTGTGTGTGTGATATTGAGCTCTAAGCATTAACACACAAGTATAAACCCTAAACTATTTACCCAAGCTTAGAATCTTCAATATGCTCGTCTTGGTAAACTTAGGGATGAAGCTTAAACTTGAATGTTTAACTTGAATTGTATGAATTCACTTCACTATTCTGCCAACCTCCATTGAATATGATCGTGAAAGCTCGATTCCATCCATCCTTCAACATATTGTTTGCCTAGAATAGATACAAAACACAAACACTAGACAAACAACATTAAATATAAATTATTTGTAAGTAATTATCAAAACAAAAGGACCCAATAGTATGATGGTAAATACATTTTAATTTTGTTATTTCAATACTCTCAATAAACTAAAAAGATAGTTTTTAAAAGAAAAATCATCTCATACACAGATTCACTTCATATAACATGTAGGTAAATATTACTTGTGTGATGCGGGATACACTACTATGCTAGGTTTTATCTCTCTTTATTGTGGTGTTCGTTACCATTTGAAAGAATATACATGAAAGACACCTAATAATAAAATGGAGTTGTTCAATCTTAGACATTCTTCTCTAAGGTCGAAGATTGAATCTACTTTCGGCATATTGAATAATTGGTTCAAGATTCTGATTGCTAAGTCCAACTATTTATTTCATTCACAAGTTGATATTGTGTTGGCTTGCACCATACTCCATAACTACATTGTAAATGTGGATCCAACTAGCGATCTACTCAATGAGGGAATGGACCTTGTAGAGGAAGATAGTGATGTTGCAATTGATGATGATGCTAATCTTGTGGACTTCTTGCAAACCCAAACCCAAAGAGAGCAAACACAATCGAGAAATGAGTGGAAGGCTCATAGAGATCAAATAGCTTAGAAGATGTGGGTTGACTATTGTGTTCAACACCGTGGATGTGTCACCACCGAAATTAGAGTTTAATTTAGTAGTCATTATTTGTATTTATTCTTTGGACAAAAATTAGTATATGTCGTGTGTCATTAGTGTTATTGTCTTTTAAATATCATAAACATGGTTGAGAAATCGCTTTAAGTTATTTATAATATGTATGGTGGTTTGTTAGATGTACAACTGGTTATAATATTCCTACTATGTTTCAGCCATTGATGTTCATTACACTTAAAATTATTTATATATATCTCAATGTTATTTTGATACAGGAATGGGTGATAATTCTCAATCTCAATCCCCAAGAACCTTATTGAGTCAAGTAACTAGTGGTCTTAACATGGGTTTCATGCCACCAGTGAATTCAATGAACCAAATCAACATGGTTTTCATGCCATCAAATGCTTTTAGTAATGTCCAAAACTTTGACTGCAACTACTTGTCGGTACATCATAAACACATGACATACATGAACATGCTTATTGGTCCTACCAATTATCATTATTTCAATCATAATTCATCTAATACATCAATCGGAAGTAACAAAAGATCACCCATAGAAGAAGTGGCATGCATTATACTTGATACATCTACGGAGAAGAAATCAACAAAGAAGAGGAAGTTAAAAATTGATAGTAACACAGGGGGTGGACACATATTTTGGTCTAAAAAAACATGATAATATTCCCATCCCTTGTCTTGTAAAATTGGCTAAGAGAGGGTTTAAAGTTAGCAAAAATTTCAAGGAGGCTTCATTTAACATGGTAGCCATTGAAGTCAATAATCATTTTGGGATAGAATTCACTTCAAAGCATGTGAGGCATCACATGAAAAGTCTATGTGCTTGTTTTTTTTTTTTTTTTGACATGCAATCTTGTCGTAACTTAAGTGGGGCAGGTTGGGATGCAGTTACAAAGACCATCACTGTGGATGTTGATAGTCTAGATAGATGGAGGGAGGTATATTTTAATCTATATATTTGAGTTTTATTTAATTTTATGTAATATATCTTATTGATTGACTATATATATTAATATGTAGGATAAGAGTAATTGTATGCTTAAAAGACTACATCAACAAGCCACTGCTACATTATGAGGATCTGGCAACTATACTTGGGGAAGCTATAGGTGACCTTGTGAACCTATTAAATTGGGTGATGATGAGGATAATTTTCTAGATATACACTACTTCGATGAGAACCCCTCTCAACCAAACCCTAAGGACAATTCTACTACTACAAACTCCAAGTCAACTAGAGGTGTGAGCAATGCTAAAATCCTTAAAATAAATAGTAGCAAAGGAAAGGGTGCTAAAACTAACAGGAACACTAAACTTATGAAACAAATGGTTGAAGAGGTAAAATGGTTTTCAGAAACTATGAAATCAGTTAACATGCATTGGACTGAGAAACTTGGAAAAGCTATCTTTGCTTATAAAGGTAAGTATCCAATTGAAATGTTGGAGAAGATTTTTGATAAACTATTTGAGAATGAAGAATGAACTATTTGAGAATGAACAAGTCGCTAGACATTTTAATTGCAAGATTGAGTTTGGCCAAAGGGTTCTATTGGATGCTTTTATGAAAGAAGACAAAGTAAATTCAAAGAATGAAGAATAAAGGAAGTCTAGTGACTGTTGGTTATATTTTGTTTGGCTTTTGGGAGTATTAACTGAAATATCCACATTATCAGTTACTATTGGTTAGATGTTGTCTGACTTTAGTATATGAAGAATGTCTTACTTTTGGTGTGTAAGGAATATCAGATTATAGTAGAAACACTTTTACTTTTGATAATTAAGATATTATCTTTTGGTGTGTAAGGAATATCATATTATAGTAGAAACGCTCTTACTTTTGATAGTTAAGATATCATGTACTAAATGTAGTTTAACTATTTTCTTTCGTTGCCTCTGAATATTGTTATTGTCATCTACTATCTTATATATTATCATTGTGGTTTTATTACTGCTGCATATGTTATCTTATATATTGTATTGTGGTGCTATTATCTAATTATCAGGTGATATCTTATATGTTATCATTGTTCTAGTAATATTTTGTGGTATCTTATACTTTTTCATTGTCTTGTTATTATCTAAATTATCAATATTATCTAAAATATCAACTTCTATCTTATACATTGTTACTATGTCGTAATTGTACTTTTTTGTATTATATCTTATATGTTGTCATCGTGCTATTGTTATCTACATTATTAGTTGCTACCTTACCAATTTTCATCGTATAAGTAAGCTTCCATGTTGGAACTATGGTGTTTTGATGATAATCAATTTTATAGTTTTTCATATATGCAACCTACATTGTTCAAAATGCACTGGTATAATTATCTTTCACTTGGCAATTGATTTTCATAGCATGTAAGCTTATGCATTTGGTGCTATGATAATTGTCATATTATGATATATGCAACCATAAGTTATTAATTTATTGCAAAGGCAAGGCAATATTATAGCCTACAATGTTATTTGCAACCTTATTTGGATAAGGCATATCATGATAATATTGATCAAATCTGAGTACATAACATTAAAATTCTAATATAAAAATTCTTTCTAACATGGTGATCCAGAATACACATGTAAACTGAATTTTAGCTCAAAGGTTTTGTTTCAAATCTTTGTTTTTATATATATTATTGTTTTGTCAATCTAACTTTATGTTTTTGGTGTACAAATATATTTAAATTTCATAAATAAACATTTATTCAAATATTTTCTTTCAAAAAACACTTGATTGCTGGATTTTTATTTACATCATATTTTTAGAATTCTATTTGCTAATTTTTGTTTCTATAGTGGTGCAATGATGATGATCAAATGCTAAAATATGTAACTAGTAACATCTAGTACTACTGAACTAGCAAAGCAATATAGAATGACAATGATCTATTTTCTTCATTCTTACTTTGCAACCAAAAGAGGTACTACATCTATATTGGTTAAAACTCAAGTTGTTAATGATTAATTGATACGAGTCGTCGTGCAAGCACTCTTGATCGCGGAATTATCAAGAGTGGGTAGAGAAGAAAACGACAGAAGAACACAAGAGTTATAATTAGGGCGAAGGAAAATACCTTCTCTAGATTATGAGAATCAATTGGATTTATAAAATCTCTCGAAAATACCTTCTCTAGATTATGAGAATCAATTGGATTTATAAAATCTCTCTCTCACAATCTCTCTAGACCAAAGAACAACCTCCCTGATCTCTTTTCTGATTACAATCTCAGTGATGAACCCTAGAAAAGTCGTGTTTCTATTTATACTAAACAGAAATCCTAAACGGTGCAGGAAACAGGCCCAGGCCCATAACCGCTACGCGGTCGACCGCTGAGACCAAGTCGGTCGACCGGCCAGAACATCGTTTTTTCTGGAAAAATCAATTACAGTGTTTCCGGTCGACCGCAGCGCCTCCATCGGTCGACCGCTCTCAGTCCTGAGACACAGTCTGGGTTTGTGCACTACGCGGTCGACCGCTGTGACCAAGTCGGTCGACCGGCCAAAGCACAGTTGTATTTCCTGCAGTTTGACGAATCCTTCGACTTCACTGCCTCCAATGACCTCATCCACGACTCCTCTACTCTATTCTCAAGATACCATGAGAATCATCTATCCTCAAACTCCCATGAGGATTGCTAAGCTCCCAAAGAGAAGGTACACCCATATCATGGGTCCCCCCTTTAGGAACTTGAAGTCCCATTCAAGTTAGAACTTTAGCTGAGGGAACTCGCGAGCCCCTCCTTCTCTGTTGAACCACTTAGCCCTGCTAGGAACCTTACCTTGACGTCTAATGAGAAACAACTCCTTCGTCCCCCACCTCGTCGTGGTCGTCTTCCGTTCCAAAATGCAATCTTCTTTCAGTGGATCCTCTCTATCAAACCACAAGTCTTTAACATGCGGTAAGATCATCTTGTCATCACCTTCATCATCCAATAACGGAGGTTCAAACAACTTCAAGTACTCGGTATTAATCACCGAATACATGCCTAAGTAAGGCGGGAAATCTAATCGAAAAGCGTTGTCGCCAATCTGATCGAGAATCCGAAACGGACCATAACGAATAGGCTTCAACTTATTCCCTTCTCCTTTTAGCCTCTCCTTACTCAGTTTTAACCATACCATATCGCATTTACCAAAGTTACAAGGAACCCGATGTTGATCATGCTTCACCTTGTACTTAGCTTGTGATTTCTTCAATTGAGCTTCAACCGTGGCATGGATATGTGCAATCTTCTCGAGAAATTGCTGAGCACGTTCTCTTTCACTCCCTTCCTTGCCGTCCACTGTGGCTTCACACGAAAACACAAGATCGAAAAGGCTCGGCGGTAAAAATCCATAACAAGTCTCAAACGGTGACTTTCCAAAAGATCCATGAATCGCCCGATTAAAAGAAAACTGCAAATATGGTAAACTCTCATCCCAAGTCTTAGGATGCCTGGAATTATACCCCCGCAACATGTGCACCATAGTCCGGTTGACTACCTCTGTTTGTCCGTCTGTTTGTGGATGAAAGGCCGTGCTCTTTTTCAATTTAGTGTCCATCAAACTCCACAAAGAATCCCAAAAATGCCCGAGAAAACAACTATCCCTATCCGAAATAATCGAACTCGGCAACCCAAAGTGCTTCCACACATGCTCAAAGAACAATTGTGCTGCACCCGCTCCCGTCACGGTCTTCTTACAAGGAATTAATATCACCATCTTGCTGAACCGGTCCACCACAACGTACAAATAGTCATGCCCGCGCTTCGTAGTCGGCAACCCTCCTAAAAAATCCATAGAAATGCTCTCCCACGGCCTAGAAGGAACCGGTAATGGTAGGTACAATCCCCTCTTCCTGTTAGAAGGCTTCGAAATATAGCATAACTTACACCCTCCAACATACTTGGTCACATCATCAAGCATCCGTGGCCAAAACACATGTCGCCGTAGATTGAGAAGCATCTTCTGAATGCCAAAATGCCCTTGCACACGCGAGGTATGTGCTTCCCGAATCCACTGCAACCTATCACCATTCTCCGGAATACATAGTGATGTCCCACGATACAACAAGCCATCTTCTCCAAGTGCATACTCCCCCCTTCGGCCAGCCTTCGCCTGCTCAAACATACTACCGAAGTCTCTACTGGATGCATGCAGCTGTACATACTCCAAAGGAACCAAGGGCTGAATACGCGTCGCCACCAATAAAGACCTTATCGGCGGACGAGATAATATATATGCCAACTTGTTCATCGCCCCCTTCTTGTACCTAATAATAATGTTGAAAGACATCAAATAAGACATCCACTTCATGTGTCGTGCCTGCTGTAGCTTCGTCTGGACATGTAAGAACTCCAACGGCTTGTGATCCGAATGCACGACCACCTCCTTCCCTAACAAGTATACCCTCCAATGCTTAATTGCCTGATATAGTGCATAGAACTCCTTGTCGTAGGTTGGGTAGTTCGCAACAGCACCCGAAAACTTCTCAGAATGGTATTCCATCGGCTTCCCATCCTGAATCAACACCGCGCCCATCGCATAACTAGACGCGTCGGTCTCCACCTCGAAAGTCCGCTGTAAATTCGGCAATGCCAACACCAGTGCCTCCGAGATCTTTCTTTTTAGCAACTGAAAAGCCTCCTCATGCGTCCTCCCCCACTCAAACTGAACTTTAGCCTTTGTGAGGCCGTGTAACGGTGCCACATAAGTCAAAAAATGTCGAATGAACTTGCACAAATACTGACAAGCCCCTATGAAGCTCCTTACCTCAGTCACTGTCTTCGGCGTCGGCCACCTCGTGATCACCTCCACCTTGCCTGGATCTATCCTCCGCTGGCCCTTCCCTACGATGAAGCCGAGATACACCAACTCGTCCTTCCCGAACTCACACTTCTTCCCGTTGAGCTTCAGCTGTCCGTCCTGCAACACTTCAAATACCCTCTCAACATGAACGAGATGCTCCTCCCAAGTCTTGCTGTACACCAAGATATTATCAAGGTAAACTATCACAAAATCCTCTATAAAAGGTCGCAACAAATCATTCATAAGCCTCATAAAGGTAGTCGGAGCGTTGCACAATCCAAACGACATCACCAACCACTCGAACAGGCCCTGCTTGGTCTTGAACGCAGTCTTCCAAGTGTCTTCCTCCTGAATCCTCACATGATGGTAACCAGACTTCAAATCCAGCTTCGTGAAAAACCTCGCTCCCTCCAACTGGTCCATAAGATCATTGATCCGCGGTAATGGGTAGCGATTCTTGATGGTTATCTTGTTGAGCGTCCGGTAATCTACGCACATGCGCCAGCCTCCATCCTTTTTGGGCACCAACAACACTGGTGACCCGCAAGGCGAACAACTCAGCACAATCACTCCCGTCTCCAAGAGCTCCTGAACCTGCTTCTTGATCTCCTCGGACTCCTGTACTAATGT